TGATTAAAAAAAAAAATCAAATTGACCTTGAAATGACTTTGAAAACGCTCACGTATTAAAAAAATATTAATGCCATTTGAATCTTCACTCGAAATACTAAAAGACATATGTCTTATTTTTTTTTAATCTACAAGAATTTTCGCTGTGTCAACTTAAATGAGACACTCTGTACATACATTTATATATACAGTCGAGTCTCTATAATTTTCTAACTCTGTAACACAGACCTATGTACTGTGTACTTAGCTGTTTGTATATTCCCTCCACGTGCCACCGCATACTACTGAGACCCGAGTCTGGCATCACTGGTAGAAGATTTTGTAATTTAACTTTTCGCAGAATCAAGAGCCGAGACTTAGAAAGATTACTCGGAGACTCAACTATATATAGGGTGTCTTAAAAATTGATCAAACCGATGTATGAAGGTAGATTGCGTCAGTCTAAACAAAAAAAGTTATATACCATTTTGCAAAATTCGCAATAGTTATTGAATAGTTAATTAAAACATGTGACTTAATAAGCGCGCAGAAAGAGATAATCCGAACTCTGTAGGTGTATAAGCTTATCAGCTGTAAAGAAAAATAGCTTACTTCATGCAATGTCCTAGCAATGAGAAACATAGTAAACAAGCGAGCGCGACATGTGAGTCGTGTGACAGCTTCTTGCGATCAGATGATATTCGACGGTACAGAAAAAGCAACTGAGAAGGTTGCTTTCCGTGAGGAAGTAAGGAAATAATAACGCTCTCATTTCCTTCTGTCACGAAAAAGATATTACTAGTAATTATTATTACTTTTAATTTAACGAGTAGATGTCTGTCTCTTTTTTCTGTATCACACGCTTTTTTTGTATCGCTTGCCGTTGTTCGCTGCGTTACACCACCGTGAGAATCACATGATCGCGAGAAAGCAGCCTTCTCATTCCGTTGCTGCTTTCTCTGTACCGTTTAATATCAGCTGGTCGCAAGAAGCTGTCACACGTCGCGCTTGCTTGTTTACTTTGGGTGCATTCCGATATTTACTGCCAGTACTGGCAGCGTCACAAGTACCGTTCCAAAATACATAGCAGTAAGCTGTCGAAGCACGTTTGCGAGCATATGACGTCACGGATTTTGTCGTCACTTCCTGCTTTCATCACTGCGGTTGGAGAGGTAAGGCAGTCG